GGTATATCGAAGATCTATCTTGACTCGTTCCACAACGATTTCCTTGCGCCTGCTGACCAGTCATCTTTCTGTCTCACCCTAGAGTCTAGAGCGTCCATCGTCTCCCGACAGGTTGGACTACGAGCACTACTTGCGTTATGAAGCTCATCTCTGACATCCAATCTCTTCCATTCTACCCCATAATCACTCCTCCCCATCGGAAGGGTCTTTCTAGCTCCATGAACCAATCATAAGTTTCAGTGGAGCTGTTGGACCCCTGTAGGGTTTTGGGCATGAAGCTCTGACCTTGTCTGTTCAATTTATAGAATCCTGAGAACCTTGCCAACTGGCGTCTCCGTGGACATTCATGCTCTCACCCTAGACAAACAATGACAGGAACGAGTTAGACACGATCCTTGATCCCGCGAAGTGGATTGAGAGAGAACAGTTTTGAGGGGAATCAAGATTCAACGAGACTCTCAGACCACAGGATCGATCAAAAGATAGGTGTTCGAAAAATACCTTAAGATAGTCATCCGACCTAAGGAATACGTACACCTAAAATATGGGCGGAGATGCATACCAAGGTAACCTACTCCGGAGTACAGCTGTTGCAGCCCACTGAATTTTCTGCTGTGTCGGAATATTTTTAACATTATTTTTTATTTTATTTTATTAGATTTATTTAGTACTAGTATCAATCTGGCAGTTGACTACTCCGTACCACCTGCTAGAATTTCGCCTCCCAGGATCCACAAGCTTCAGCAGGCTCGAACGGAGCTAACCAGACTATGGAGTAGATAAACCAGTCCCAGAGAGAAAAACAGAGAGTTCTCGACTCCAGTCCGGATCCTGCATGGCGGAACCCGCACACCGTCATTCCACCCAGACAGACTAGTTATTATTCCGTCGTCCTCGATGATCAATCCTGAGCTGGATCTCTCCATTGATCTGCTCTACCTTTCCCTTCACTCTCGCTATCCTTCCTCTCTCCTTCCTGATCTCCTCTTCATTTCGTTATCCTTCTATCTCTTGTATGGTCCAACGCTTCACCATATAGTAGGGGTTTTTCCTTCATCCCTGTTCGTGTCCCTGTCCCCACGTATAGCTTTTTAATCAATACGCTTTTTTTTTGGCTCTATTGTACCTATTGTCTGCATTCTTCTATTCTTCTCACTGTGTTTTTCTTGCTTTCGTCGTTCTGCGTCGCCTGAATTGGTACCGAGGTTCGTTATCACGACCAGCAAGGGGAAATAACGAAGAGCTGCAGCGTTCGTTCAGTCTCTACAAGCCTACATAACAGTTAATCCGCAGATCCTCTGCTCTCGACTGCCCTCTGGCCTCTGTTCCTACGCTGACAGTCGTTTCCGGCCCGGCTCCTACTCCAACCCGCTGTCCCTACCGCTTCTTTTTCGTATCCCTCGGTCAAGACGGAATAATACGGCAATTGTGTCATGGAAACGTTTTGATGAACGTGTGATTGTGTCGGATATTGCGCGGAGGATCGATCATGATGGCTTCCCATCATGGAACGCGTGAGCTGTTGGCGTATCTTCGCACAGCCTCCCCAATCATACTCCTCCTTGTTTTTGTCGTGGCTTTTGTGACCAACTCTATTCGCACTGCTAGAACTGTGACCCAAAATCGCAATGCAGTGTGCACAGGACCGGGTGGACGACCTCTACCGAAGCGGTCAAGAAGCACAATGGTCGTTGTGAAGGAAACACAGAAGTTCTCTCAGAGCGCAAAGCTGCTTTTCAAGTGGCTGTCGGCTCTTGTGCTCGTGACTTTGGTTGCCGATGCCGCCATCAACGTGGTTCATGTTATGGTTGCCAGATCGGAGCACTGGTGGTGTGGCCAGGCTGTGGTGGTAAGTCAGACAACTCGAGGCTTGAACGGCTGGTGCGTCGATTGTCGACCCAGCGGCTGATAGATATGTTAGATCTACGTTGTGGGGTCATTTTTCGTTTACGCGGTCATCCTCGTCTCTCTGTTAGACAGTAAACCCTCTCCGTCCTCAACTCAGCTCATTCCATGGATTGTCGCAATCCCTTTCGAATTGGCCATTGTGGGGGCCTCCCTTTCGATCTACTCCACCGTTCACCGTGAACCCGTGGTAGGGAACCCTTCCGGTGGTCGACTACGGCAGGGCATGACGGGTTGGGAGTCAATGGAGGTCGTCTCAAATTGTATAAGAGTACTCATTTTGGCGAGCTTGGTTATAATCTACTTGTTCTGCTCCATCAGTGCGAGGACTAGTGCACGGAAGGCAGCCCGAGATCAGGCCGATGGCCCAACCGAGTCGACAGGATTGCTCGATCCCGCGCACGCAGAAACAGGCACTAATGGCACGGCTTACGGCTCGACTCATGCCTCGCAAGGAAACCAGCAGCCTTCCAAACCGACCGATCCATGGGTCCGTCCCACCACAGTTCCTTCAACCAGCTGGTGGGAATATCTCAGCGGCTATTCTTTATTCTTTCCTTACCTGTGGCCTTCCAAGTCTCGTCAATTGCAGTTCATTGTGGTCATCTGTTTCGTGCTGATTGTTCTCCAACGTGTCGTCAATGTTATGGTCCCCTATCAGGTGGGAGTGATTACCAACATCTTGTCGAAAACGGATGGTGACTTCCGTGTCCCGTGGTTTGAGATCTGTCTCTACATTCTTTATCGGTGGCTACAAGGCAATCAGGGCTTGATTGGTTCGCTGCGGTCTAGCCTATGGATCCCAGTAAGCCAGTATTCTTACATGGAGCTATCCACGGCTGCCTTTGAACACGTGCACGGTCTCAGTCTCGATTTCCACCTGGGAAAGAAAACCGGGGAGGTGCTATCTGCCCTGAGCAAAGGCAGCTCTATCAATACCTTCCTGGAACAGGTTACTTTTCAGGTTGTGCCAATGCTGGTAGATCTCTGTGTCGCCATCGGATACTTGCTTATCGCCCTTGACGCTTATTATGCACTCGTTGTTACTGTCGTCACCTTTTGCTACCTTTATGTTACCGTACGCATGGCCCAGTGGAGAGCGGAGATCAGACGACAGATGGTGAACGCGTCGAGGCAAGAGGATGCTGTGAAGTAAGTATTGCCCATAAAATATCAGGCGGAATCTGAAGGCTGACATGGTGGATCAGGAACGATTCTATGGTCTCATATGAGACTGTCAAGTATTTCAACGCAGAGGACTACGAATTTAATAGATATCGGGGCGCCGTTTCGGACTATCAAAAAGCCGAATACCATGTTCTCTTCTCTTTGACCTTGATGAATACGTCGCAGAATACCGTCTTCATGCTGGGTTTACTGATCGCATGTTTCATTGCCGCCTATCAAGTCTCTCTCGGCCAGCGGGATGTCGGCCAATTTGTCTCCCTTCTCACATACATGGCACAGCTTCAAGGGCCTCTCAACTTTTTCGGCACCTTTTACCGCTCAATCCAATCGGCCTTGATTAACTCCGAGCGAATGCTAGAATTATTCAGGGAGCAGCCCACTGTGGTTGATAAGCCTGGCGCAATGCCTCTGGCTGTATGCAAAGGTGACATTAAGTTCGAGGACGTTGAGTTTGCGTACGATACCCGCAAACCTGCGCTCAATGGCCTTACGTTCCATTGCGAACCGGGCACAACCACAGCACTCGTTGGCGAGTCAGGCGGTGGCAAGTCAACCGTCTTCCGTCTCCTGTTCCGATTCTACAATGCGAGAAATGGACACATCCGAATCGACGGACACGATGTGGAGAAAATTACGATTGATTCGCTCCGAAGACACATCGGAGTTGTGCCGCAAGATACGGTCCTTTTTAACGAAACATTGATGTACAATCTGAAATATGCCAACCAGAACGCCACGGATGAGGAAGTATACGAGGCTTGTCGCGCTGCCAGCATTCATGATAAAATCATGTCCTTCCCTGATGGCTACAACACCAAGGTAGGCGAGCGTGGTCTCCGACTCAGTGGAGGAGAGAAACAGCGGGTGGCGATTGCTCGAACCATCTTGAAAAACCCCCGCATCATCCTCTTGGATGAGGCGACGGCCGCCTTAGATACAGAGACCGAAGAGCACATCCAAGGCGCGCTATCGACTCTTTCCCGTGGCCGCACCATGCTGGTCATAGCTCACCGCCTAAGTACTATTACCACGGCGGATCGCATCTTGGTCTTGCACGAGGGTAGGGTCGCAGAAAGTGGCACGCATGATCAGCTACTGGCTATGAAAGGCCGGTATGCTAGCATGTGGCGCAAACAGATTCGAGCCCAGCGCGCTGCCGCAGAAGCACAGGTCCTTCAAGATCGCGCTCAACGTCTGCGAAGTGCATCTACGACTGCTGTTGGAGACGACAGCTCCAGCCAGTCTGATGAGGATCGCAACGGCAAAGATCATCCGACCACAGCTCGACCAGCGCAGGGTCAATATTCCGTCAAATCATCGGATGATAGCCAGAAAGGGTAGAGTACGAAAACGGTTACACCGTCATCCATCACCGTCTCTATTCTTCTCGGGTAAAGAAACAGTTCATACTTTGAAGAGCGATTTCGTTTGTCATTATAGAGTTGACGGAGTGATGAGATACCATTCCCGGGTTTCCGATTGATTTTCTGCCTTTCTGTGCTGACTTGCCGTCCTACTATCGAGTTTATTGGCGTTCTGAGTGGCTTACGAGGTGTCAAGAAGTTTCTGGGATTTTGTAAATGCCTGGTCTTTAATTTGCGTTCGCGGCACAGGCGGAACAAAAAGGGTTCGATGCTTGGATAGCAAGAACATAGACTACCTATCTAATTACATCGCCAGAACGGCTTCTTCGGCAGCTTTACTCCTGGAATTCATTACACGCGATCTTCTGTAGGAAACAGTGACGTGATTGATGCCTGAGGCCTTCATATGTCCCCAAAGATGTGTTGGGGCGGATTGCCATTGCGCAGGCTTCGATTGGCTGCCGCTTTTCCGCTTACATCACCGTTCCTCGTATGGATGCAGGCCTGTTGGCCTGAAATTCCAGGCACTAAGCATTCTAGCTCAACAGCTTTTTCGACTCCTGGGCATCCTTTTCCACTGGATCGGTCAGCGTCAGATATCATTTACAGATATTCCACCGAGCATCTATCGCTGGAAGAGGGATTCAACAGTCAACGTCTTTGCGTTACATTCACACGCGAAATCATTTCGACCTCGATGATGCAACCTCCATCACCCCAGTTACTCCGAGCCCTGCGCGCCAGCATCTCCGGCGTCAACACTGGCAGTCTTTGCTCAACTGTCCCTCGATCCCGCTGTGCCATACGACCCACTGCTCTATTAGGGTCTTCCCGCCGCAACAACAGCAACCATGCCCGCCCGACCCGAATGATTCCTCGCTCCCATACGCCAAAGCCAACCAGCCATGACCGAGGCCCACCGTCAAAGGAGGACACGCAGACAGATTTTGCCGCGCTCAATGTACTAGGTAACATCCCAGCGCCGACGACCGCCATTGATGCCTGCCTTGATTCCGGATTCCATCTGAATAGTGGGGTCAAGGTGACCGGTGGAGATGGGGTCCTGCTCGTTGGCGGGGAGGCTTTCGCCTGGAGGCCCTGGAAAGTCAATGAGGGTGCGATATCCGACATGTTGAATAAAAAGGGCCAGTTTGAGGTGGACGAGCAGGCGTGGGGGCTCCTGGGGCTTGTGTGGCCTCGTCCTGGTGAGTTGGCACTTTTCCCGGCACTCTGCCAAAGGCGTGCTGACCGTTGGATTTCTTCGTGTCCTAGACTTGCTGCTTATTGGTATGGGGCTTCGGTGTTTCCCTTGTCTCCTGAAACAAGACGACATATCAATTCCCTGGGTATTCGTGTTGAGGTGCTGGATACTCGGAATGCGGCTGCGCAGTTTAATATGCTTGCGACCGAGAGAGGCGTTTCGGAGATCGCTGCAGCTATGATTCCTATTGGGTGGACTGGGAAGTAGAAGACTGATCTTCTATTAGATGAATATATTTGAGTGAAATCGGTCATGATGCTTCTGTTATACCCATCCATTCTGTCCGCTATTTGTACACTATCTAAGACATACGCTCCCAATAGTTCATTGTACATCTTCATCGCCGTAGAACGTCAGAAGATGATCAGTGCCTATATGCAATTCGGGTCCTATTCTACGGAGTAGATACCGTCGAGAGCTACCTGTGTACTGTAGGCTGCTTAACTATCTCATCGTGGGCTTATCAAGCGAATCAGCGCGTGACGTATTCCTAGTCCCGTGAGCTGCCAAGCCCAATGCAGCTGCAGCCACAAGGGACTCCTGATCCCCAGCTTCAGGATTCCTCACTATCTCGCTTTACGCTCGTTAAATGATTCAGTGCATCAAATAAATCTCGTTGATTTCACTCTCTAATTCGACCTGAGATATCCTGCCTAGTATGGCGCGAGACGAGCCTCTTTTGGCTCCGCGCCCTTCCTCGGAGAACAACTCCATTCGGAATGCGGAAGAGGAGGACGCACTGTTGACCGGGGAGCGAACCGGGCGAGGTCAGGAACGACGAGGTTGGACTTTCTGGCGAGAAGTCGGTCTCTTCACCTGGGCGCTCCTAGCTACAATTGCTGTTATTGTGCTCGCAGTCGTCTACCAGCATGAAACGAGCAAGCCGAACGTTGGCTCAAGACCGACCTGGGGTCCGGGAGGGAAGCCGACCGGCAAACGCAACCTGATCTTTATGGTGTCGGACGGAATGGGCCCTACCAGTCTTACCATGACTAGAAGCTATAGACAATTCGCGGAGGGATTGCCGATTGACGACCGTTTGGTGCTGGACGGCCACATCATTGGAACTTCGAGGACGAGGTCGAGTTCTAGTCTGGTGACGGATTCGGCGGCCGGTGCGACGGCTTTCTCTTGCGGTTTCAAGAGTTACAATGGTGCCATCTCTGTGCTTCCGGATCACTCGCCATGTGGAACCGTCCTCGAGGCTGCGTCCTTGGCCGGCTACAAGACCGGACTTGTTGTGACGACTCGGATCACCGATGCCACGCCTGCTTGTTTTGCTTCGCACGTTAACATGCGACAATACGAAGACCGGATCGCCGAGCAGGAAATTGGCGAGCACCCGCTCGGGCGCGTCGTCGATCTTATCTTCGGTGGTGGTCGTTGCCATTTCCTGCCCAATTCGACAGATGGGAGCTGCCGGGCAGACGATCGCGACTTGGTCAGCGTCGCAAAGGAGAAGGGATTCAGCTATCTTGATGATCGGAAGGGTTTTGACTCACTAAATGGCGGATCGGAAGCCAAGCTGCCCCTCCTGGGTCTGTTCGCGGAGAAGGACATTCCTTTTGAAATCGACCGTCGTAATCAGAACGACGTCTACCCGTCTCTGGAAGAGATGGCCCGCACTGCACTCAAGATACTCAGCGATGCTACCGCTGATAGTGAGCAGGGGTTCTTCTTGATGATCGAAGGTTCTCGTATTGATCATGCCGGACACGGCAATGATCCCGCAGCGCAGGTCCACGAGGTTATTGCGTACGATAAGGCATTCGCTGCTGTGCTGGACTTCCTTGAGAAAGACTCGACGCCCGGTGTTGTGGTTAGCACATCTGACCATGAAACGGGTGGCCTGGCGGCCGCTCGGCAGCTGCATACCACCTACCCGGAGTACAAATGGCTCCCCGGGGTTCTGGCCAACGCCAGCCATTCCACCGAATTCATTGACAACAAGCTTCGGAAGTTTCTCTCTACGGAGACGAAAAAGAACAATCAGCAACGTTATGTTCGAGAGCTCTTGGAGAAGGGTCTAGGTATTACCGATGCCACAGACGAGGAGATCGATTCTATCCTCGATCCAAATTCGCCGATAAGCTCGCAGTATCAGTTTGCCGACATTATCAGTCGAAGAGCGCAGATTGGCTGGTCAACCCACGGCCACTCTGGTAAGTACCAGCCTCTATAACATGGAGCAGAGGAGATCGGCTAACTGTCGCAGGTGTGGACGTCAACATCTATGCATCCTCTTCTAAAGATGCCTGGCCCCTGGTTGGGAACCACGAAAATACCGAGATCGGCCAGTTCATGGCAGACTACCTTGACCTGGACGTGGAGAACATCACCAAGCACCTACAATCATCCAGCGCCTGGTCGTTCGCCGGCGGTGAAGTCCAGCCCTTCGCCTGGCTAGGGGATCCCTTGGGCGAGAACGTCCGCACCGAGGGCTTGGATACCTACCACGGAGAGTTCAGGAAACGCTCTATGGACGTGGACGGCATGGAGAAGAGGGAGTGCGGGTGTGGAGGAATGCACTGATTTGATTGAACAGGGTTATATCTGTTATATCTCATTTCCTTTAGGAGCACGGCGTTTGGACATACTATCATATCAAGCATCAATGACATTATTTGTGGCAGCCAACCCAATACACCGTCGGATTCAGTTGCCTTTACTCGTCTCCATTCCTGACCACCCATAGACACCTCCCACTGACTGACCACTCCCGTTTACAGGCAGACGCGAAGCAAATTAAAGAAAGAAAGAAATAAAAAAACATACAACAGCCGGGATTCGCTGGTGGTCACCCACCCAACTACTAACCGGCCGGCGTGTGGCTTGAACGCGGCCAATACCCCAGTGGGTGCCCTTACTGGTGATGGGGGTGATGCTGCTTTAATAGCATGGTGATTAGTGTGAGTGTAGTTTAGTGAGGTGGTGATGCCTGGAGAATACATCACCAGCCTGGAGCATACATCACCTATAGAAAGTAAATTTAGCTAAGGGGGGAGGTGTGATCTAATAGGCGCTAAGCCAGGCATCTTGATTAGATAATAGACTAGAATAAAACACTAAGTACTTCACCATAAGTGCATAGCCATAGTCTTTTCTCCTTTTAGATAATGGGCTAAGAAGTATCAGGCCACAGGCTGCAGCACCATTATGCAAGGAGCCCTATTTAGATAATTCAAGATGCTATCCATGCAGTATTCTCATTTACTTTTATGCTATAGGTATATAGGTATCATATGGGTTGCCAGTGGCCACAGCCAACAGCTACCAACACTGCTAATGTCCGAGTTAGGCTAGGCGTAGATGATGCTGTTCTGGATGTAGGTAGCGGTGGAGCCCTTACATAATAATAAAGAGGAATGTGCATGATTCAAGCCGCTAAACCTTGTATTCAAAGAGGGCGGTGAAGACTGTCATTTACTACTTTCTAAAGGAGGATTACATCACATAGCTGAATGGAATTCTTATTATTTCTTTATGCACTTCCTCAGATACTCTACACTGCCTACTTCCTACCAGTCTGTCACAAGAAGTACAATGCTGAGAGACTCATCAGCTAAGGACCATTTTCTTAATAGGTCATGTCCACATCATCATTCCTCAGTGCTGGGGGCAAGCTGGATAAATATTAGATGGTAACAGTCAAATCCTACTTTAATATATGCCAGGACCATGCACTGGTTTCGCTGTCTAGGGCATATTACTATAGGATATTACGCGTTCAAGTGTTCTTTCAAAAGGTCTACTCAACACTTGGACCTGTGGAACTCATCCTATGCATGCTGTCCAAGAGCTTAACCAACCTTTCCAAACTTAATCCAATAGTGATCATACCCAAAATCCATACAGTGTTTCGAGGTAATAACACTTTTACTACAAGAGGCCCAAGCAATTTACAACAAGCATAAAGCTATTCTAGTTCACCATAGTAGTATTATTCCTCAACTAGTACCCAGATCTTACATCTGCTAATCAAACCAGGTCCTTTACACCAACAAAAGCATGCTTCCTTCAGAAGAATCTCCACACAGTGAACTTAACATAGGTATTTAAGATCCATACAAGGGTGAATGAGCACTTACAAGTTCATAAAGGAAGTACACAAGAGAAAGAAGACAACCAGCTCCTAGAAGCAGGAAGACAGAACCACTAGTGATATTAACTGCAGGACCTTTATCACCTTCCTCACTCCGTGCGGTCATCTCTCTGCTAATTTCTACCTTTATCACCTTCCTCACTCCACGCAGTCATCTCTCTGCTGATTTCTACTTCAGCAAGATCAAATCACAGGTATCCCCAGAGACCGCCATATACGTCATTTTGGAGACGCAGAATGTGAGGTTGTTCTTGTATGGATCCAGGAACTCTTACAGCAGTGGTAGGATATTCATAGGCCCACTAAAGCTGCATTTTAAGAGCATGAACTCCAGGTCAGACTGGTAAGTCTCATCATAAATAGAGTAGGGAGTCACCTGCATTATCTCATAGCAGGTAACATAGCAGTATAAGCACAGTTCACCTTATGGCATATCAGCGATGGTCTAGACGAACAGTGAAACCATCAATGACATCTGTAATGAATAAGTACAAATTTATAACAGTCAGTCAGCCATGTTCTCCACAGCTACTTGAAGGAGTTTAACTTACCGCAACAGTATTTCCCTATATTAGGGTCTTGACACACATCTCATTCCATCCAGCCCAAATGATACCACTAGGTTCAGACAGGACAACATGATCATCCTCCCAGGGGCAGGTGACTAAGGCACTCTCAAACTATGCTTAGAGAGGCTATCTGCAGGTTCTGTCGCACATTAAATTAGTCAATATATTATTATGCGTGGGCCCTCTCCATTATAAGGCCTTGAGCATTTGCACTTGATCATCACATCTGATCAGACGGGTCAGAGATGCTTTGTAGGTGGACAAAACACCACTCAAGACATCCTGGTCCTGTTCATCATCCCACAGGTAGAAGCCAGGGAATTTGCGCTTTCCAATGGCCCCAGTTCCGGTGTGGAGCCAAGCCAGGAGAGATAAGGTATAGCCATTCCAGACATCTTGGGAATAGAGTGGGACTTCCCCTATCAGGCTGATAGACTCCATAATTACTTTAGTGACAAGATTGTACACCCAGGTATCAGTGCTCTGCTCAACGTAGAAGCCCCAGTCCTGATAGTTGCCGGTCTCGACATAATCCTGCATATAGAACGAGAACCAACTATAGAGGCCTAAGATAGACTATTAGATCCATAGGTATGCACGTAACACAATGGCAAACGCGGGGATGTCCTACTAGATCCTAGCATATAGACAGTTAAAGAATTAATGACTCTCACAACCCAGGCCATGGCATAGCCAGCTATATTATGGCCACAGTTGGCGAAATTAGGGTCATTAGGAAACAGGCTGGGCTTAAAAGGCTCTGGCGCCGCAGGAAGCAGTTAGAAATATAGTGTTTCAGTCTAGATTATTCCCATCACAATATTCCGCGCTCCCGAAAGCTGATATTAGTAAAGAATATTATATTTAGATGCAGTGCTATACATCCATGTTGGTCTATGGCTCTTAACCAAGATCCCTTAAGCAGAAAAAACATTAATTTAATCTTGGGACTTCACATTAAGATCATGGTCTGCTGTCCATGCCCATATGTTTTCCAGATAAGCAGAAGCAGAAGAAGTGGTATAGAGCAGTAACAAAGCAGCTATATAGCTTTATTTAATGAAAGGGAATTACTTCTTTGGGTATTTAGAGGCCTAGGGATTGGAGCCCTTTGCGCCTCTAACCTAGAAGAGGGAATCTGCAGGGAAAACAGTCAAATCATAAGAAATGATGAATACATTAAGGACTAGGAGTTCACCCTATAATCCTGCTAAATCTTGGCTTGATTCATGGATATTCTATTCCACTAGCACAGCTGCCTGTGGTGGGACCTGAAACAGTGAACTGCAAATCTTAGATCTTGATGACCCTAACATCGCCTTCATCGCCTACTTGGACCATAACAAGTGGATGGTCAGCATCCTGAAATTTGGCGCCTGTTGCCATCATCTGGGACCAAGCCTGTCCAATAATGTGGGACCCTTTGGGGATCTTCAGGGCATCTATTACTTTTGAGACACCATGAGGAATGTAGATGATTGATAACAGATTCATAGTAATAATGAATAAACTATTAAGAATGATAGTATTGTCAGTGACAGGGTCACCCTTAGCCCTGCAAGCCTTTATATTAAACACCTGGCTGTGACTAATATCAGCATATTATAGTTAATGGCGGGTGAAAAGGTTGAATATTCCTTTGTCATAAGAATTAGTGCTAATGAGTTCTTTAGCGCGCTGCATAGTTGGAAGCACTTTTTACTAGGTAAATTAAATGTTTGCATCCTGGGTGTAGAGCCCAAAGCCCCCTATATTATTCAGTACCTCATTCCCTCCAGCAAGAATATCCACCATGATGGCTTTCTTAATATTATAGAACCTAACATTCTCCAAGAGGAATGCGGTGGAATTGTCACTGTACAGCAACATCAAGACACCTGTCAGGGTGTTCGCGATTAAGGCATCAATAAGGATAATTAAACCACACCCTGGCTGTTACTTATTAGGCCGCCTGCCTGGTAAGACAGTTTTATTATTAGCATCTCATTACTATGAGGTCAAGAAACAGGATGCACTTATACCACTAGTAACAATGATTCCTTTTTAGCAGGATTTAATCAGGACATCCTGCATAGTCCATGCCCAGTCCCAGTAGATGTGAAGGGCAGTTTTGCAATTAACAAATATGAGATGCTGTATGGTAAATTGCTGGTTCCTAAGATAAGCACTATTCAGCTAATAGTAAGCACTTAAGCAGAGGTTAAAGCTACACTACAAAAAATAGCACACACCCAAAGTTTGCACTAACAAAAGTCAGATTGCTCATGAAGCCCATACTTCCATTTTCCATGTAGATCCCCTACAAGAAGGTAAACACCAATATATTACAGCAGAAGATGGGATCTGACACTTCACACACCTGCTAGGTTATGCCCGCATCTTAAGATATATATAACTTAATATTCTTAAGCAAGGCCCCCTGAGCCACCTGCCATTAAATGACACAGATATACGCAGCAGGTCAGTACAGGTGATGTCCATCTTGAAGTTGTGAATGTTTCGCAGAAAATTGCTTGTGTTGAGGTACCTAGTTCATGGGAGCTGAGGGTCGATGTAGGAACATAAGATAGTGGGCATCTATTTCAGAATCTTACCATTCCTGTTGGTCTCCAACATAGACATCAGATGTGATCACCCCTAGACCGACAAAACTGGCAGCTGCGGGAATCGTTGGATAATTGGTGGGCTATTATGGCAGAGTATCAGGTCAGATTAGGCTACCTGATGAAGGGGAAAGCAAGACTGTTCAGCAACTTACATCACCAAGAAATTGGGTATTATAGTACTGTATGATTGGACTGCTGATAAGATAGGTACTGGGAGGGAAGTAGACCATAGCAGGGAAGATTATGCTTAAGCCACAGTCGGCACCGCATCTCCCGCTGTTGGAAATTGCTTTATCAATAGCGGCTGTATTTCTTGCATGAGCTGGGTCATTCCTCCTTAAGATTAATTCTCAGGTCACCTGTGATCTTACCGGTATTGTCAGTCAGTCCGTCCCCTGCTGGGCAAATGTTAGCATTCATTCTGGTGTGACTTGGGAGAGTGAGATCCAGGTGCTTACCCTTGGCACTATAGCCCTTGACATTACTCCACCCTATATACATAGATTACATGAGTCAATTGCGCACTGAGAGGAGAAGAATTGAGTGAGTAGACCAACCTTGTATCCTCCTGGGGCGTAAGGGCTAGTGCTGTGCTGAGCCATGTTGGCCATCCAGTAATTGGATCCTGATATGGTCCTTCTCTCCAGTGTTTGTTCGCCACATGAATTGGGGCTTCTTTGTTGGTGAAGGGCGCATACTCCAGCAATCTGTCTGGGACTTGTAGGCTCTGGCTGGTGACGTTTGTGCCATTGCCCTTGAGGCCACACTTGGCTTATATCTTGGCTGCAGGGGCGCTTTCTTTCCCAGATGATGGTGAAGGAGGAGTGGATTTTGCAAGTATGCAGGCAGCTTCAGCCAGATCTGGAGAGATGGAGTACGCGAAGCTCTTACTCTCAGATCTTGATGAGTTATCTCTCTTTCTCCTGCTGGGAGTGTTGACACCATACTGCCAGACATGTCGCTGTGCTTTCTATTATAGACTATGGAGTATCAGGCAGCAGACTAGAACAGGGGCATCACATCACTAGCAACAGCTGACAGCTACTTCTGTATCTTAGAAACACATTTATCCAGTTTGACTCCTGACAATCTTCCCATTTTTAGTACCAACGGCGACACAGCTGCCCCTTGGTATATCTACTAAATTTTATCATTTTATCTTACTCATTTGTCATCCTGAATCTGGGATTCAGTTTGAGTCCGAAAAAGAGTGTCCAGACAGGTTTTATTACTCTTGTTACAGTGCTCATGAAGTCTCCCACAACCTCATCTTTTGCCTAGTAGAGGTGATGTCATACTCACCGTCACGTGATTGTTAAACCCACCATCAGTGATTGAAGCATAATCAAGCAATCCACAACTGTCCACCACTCCACCTTGCACTTTGGCATCTTGAACTCTTGGTATTTATTGCTCCAATTAACTTATTCTAAAAGTTGTCATGGACTGCCTTCTACAGCCACTCCATGTCTAACTAGCCTCACCAACCATAGTGAGGAGAAGTCTTTTCACTCTATCCATCTATCCATCTACGTTCACTGCGAAATCAATACACAGCATATCTTATGCTGCTGGCTGACTGTAAGTTGCAGTAGACAGCATCTACCTTATCCAGGGGTGTTCTGCCGCTGCTTCTGTTATTATAATTACTCATCATCTACCTAAGGACTCCAATGCACCTTCCATTTGTACAAGGAGGCTCAAGAACCTCACTTGGGCAGGAACATTCCGTGAAAGAGGAAACGACAACACCTCGTGTAGTCAAAACACCCTTGACTGTACCTTGACTGTATGTTAAATGTCCTTCAACTATCGTGTCAAGAAGAGAACTAAAAATGGCAGATCCTGGACAAGACCGAATCTTAATGCCTCCGCCGTCCTCCCCCATGGTACACGCAAATCCCGCTCTGTCAGCTTCTATATCAGGCGCGTCATCAAACAAGTCTAGCGCATTTTCAGACACTACCAAGTTACGAGTCAAAAAAATACATGGGGATACGTGCTGGGCGTGCGGTAATGAGTCACCTCACATTTGCCATGTTGTGGCACAAGAAGATAGACAGGTAGGCAAGACAATATCATATTATCTCGGTGTTGAGATGATAATATCAGTTTGCAGGCTCCGCTTTGGAGTGAACTTGGGCTTATAGACTTCCCAATAAATTCATATCTGAACGCAGTTCCTCTTTGCCTGACTTGCCACAGCCAGTTTGACTGCTCCATCGACCCGGGTTTGGTTCTTATGCCACTAGACCTCGATTTCTTCATCAAGTTTGAGATAATGGACAGAGACCGCTGCAAGAAAGCAGCTGAGGAGGGGTTTCCCTCAAGGCGAATGGCCCCCACTTTTGAAGACTACAAGCAACATCAAGTCGAGCAGGGTATCATCACCGCCGATGCTATTGGCGGGAAGTATCTACCTATATTCCTCAAATCCTATCTGCATGTCGGTCTACTTGATTTCGACATTACCGAAGCATTATCAAAACCCAGAGATTGGCACGGCGCCCCCATGGCTTCTATTCGCAGGTGTATCCACGCACTTGGTAGCCCCCGTCTTGGCATGAGGAACCCGGCAGCTTACCATAAGCTGCAGCGCCTATACGAGCTATACTTTTGCAATAATGATAACTCCTCTCCATTATCCAACACTTTATCCGACCACCCAACGCAATCCGGAAAGAAACGCCAGTATGGTGATTCCACAGGTGAGCCTCATTCAAAGAGGCACCAAGGCCCTCAGGCAGATAGTGGGAGTTCTAGCCGAGAAACTACATTCTGTCCGACCCTCCAACGAGAAGTGCGTGCGTATTGGACCCTAGGACCAGATGTTTCGGCTGAGGAAGCGGTTCGTCAGTTTGCACCTATTCTTTCTCAGTCGCTCAAAACTACCCATGCTTAAGTCTCATAATGGCGTTTAAGACTTCTCATACTCCGTCTTTGGTCGCTCTATTGTTCTCTGATCGTTCCCTCCGTCCTGATGGTATCTGGCGAAGGGTGTATGATTGGTGAGACTATCCAGGGCGGATCAGAAGGCGCCCGGACACTGTCCACGTCCGGCAGGCAGATGTTCATGGTGGATGAGTTCCAAGATACAGGAAGGCCTCTGCTTAGCGTCCTAGCAGATCCGAATAGCATCTTCATCAAAGCTCTGGCAAAGTTCAGAAATTGTTCAGTATACGCAAATATTGTTAACGACTGTTTGACAGCTTTCTTCATGACCGCTCTCTTGACGACGAACCCATTCCAGGACCTAGAGAACATGGACATCAACTATGTGAACGGCTATGCACCGGTTGTCATTAATCCTGATAATTACTTCTGCCTGCGAGAAAATGAGAGCTGCCCTTATTCATTTCTCAAGTTCACCCTATTCCTTTTGACAGAATTCATTCTGAAACCAAGTTTCAGAATGAGTATAACAAAAAGCAACTTTATTCTTCTCTTCTAGTATCAAGGCTTCAGTTTATAATGGAAAATACATGTCCTACTTTTTCCAGCCTGGGCAGCCTATTCTTTTTAAGTAGAATTCATCTTGAAACCTGGCTTTAGGATGAATGGAAGAAACTGCTATCGCAGAATTCGATTTATTAACTACGTTCAGGTTGTATAGATAGGATGAAAACAAATTTGATTCAAGTCATATGTAGACTATTGAGAGAAAATCGTTCTGTAGTTACATGTAATAGTGCTGTAAATGGCTCAAATCAGCATGCAGATTGTAAAGGAAAGCAGGAGTGCAAGACAGCAAGCTAAAGAAAGTCTAGAGGAATGACTTCTCAGAACACAAACGCGTGTTCGGTGAATCTACCCCTCTCTGTCTCTATCAACAGCTTATAGCTGAGCTGAATAGATGCACGGGCGGCCATTCTCCAATCAAGGATCCATTCCCATGCCTTGTTCCTATCTTCACCTAAGAGAATCTTGATCTCTTCTTGTACTTCAGAATCCAGATAGGAGCGCCGGCCCAAAATAGCATCTGATAATGGGCTAATGCCCTGTAGGATGGGTGCATTTTCAATGAATTTTACCTCTTGCAGTGACTCTTCTCGAATATCTAAAGGGATCGGCCGCCTTTCGAAGCGGAGCTTTTGGAGTGTCTCAACTACCTCCAGCTTGCTGCTCAAAGCCCCTTTTGATAGCTCTATTATCACTGGCACTGGGAGTAGAGTTGGTCTAATAACCATAGCAGTGCTCAGCGCGTAACTCTCGACTGGAAGCAAAGTTGCGCGTTGGCAGATGGTAGGGGAGGATGCCATCATGGGCTGTGATACTTTCCACCCCCTGCGGGAAGGCAAGAAGTTCGGTGTCAGACCAGAAAAGGGCCTGTAAAAGCCATAAAACGGGGTCACTCTCCGCCAGCTGCTGGAAGAGTGCGAACTGGTAGCTATCCAGCTGCTTTCCATAGTGGTGCTCAAAGCGTTTCAGCTCAAGCAGTGCGCAGGTAGTCATTGGCGTCTTGTTGACGAATGTATGATCCCACCAATCGTAGATATGAATCCCTTGAAGGGTTTTCTCTGTTAATGCATGTTCGGGCTCGATGTTGTTGAAGGCATTGAGACGATTCAATAAGTCTTTCATGATTCCTGATTTGCGGGCGGCCTCATCATCCTGAATCCGGGTTTCAGGATGATGAGCAGACGGGAGAGGAAGGCCCACACGCGACCCTAAATCCTCGTCCTCCCAGTCGGACGCCCCCTCAACCTGGCTGTCTTTTCTTTTGACGGGGTCAGTAATAGCAGGAATAGGTCCAGCTGACTTTTCCAGAGCGCTTGGTGCCGCTGTGGGTTGTGCTTGAGCAACTGGTACAGCCACATGCGTAGCCGTCTCTCCTTTTCGTTGGGAGATGTTCTCTCTGCTTGGGGTGAACACTGGTGCCTTTTCCCTCTTCCGCTTTTGGCGCTGTGTGCTGGTAGGCTGGGTTTGCAGGGTCATTGGGGCACCTGAAGAGGACCCAGTCCCCGTGGATGGGGCTGGAGCCGCTGAGCCGGCGGCCACATCCAAGGCGTCTGTATGAACGGCTGTTGGTTCTTCGGTATCTCCATCCCCATCTGCTCCGATTAGGGACTGTTCTGGCTGTGGCATTACCTGGGAAGACTCGGCCAGTCGCTTGCGCAGCTCGTCTGCAGCAGACTGCCGGGTCATAGATGATTCCCGGGTAGCGGTAGAGAGGACAGAGTGATCCCGTGCTGGTGATCCAGCCGCATGGCGGTGTGGTGAGGATGCATCGGCTCAGGTCCAAGGCTCGGGTTGCTCGTCCGCGCGGAGATCCTTCTACATCCACATTGGGAACAGTTCTGGGCGCCGCGTCAGCAGAAGGGGTTCGGGCGAGTTGCGCGTCTTCGAGTTTCGCATCTTCCTGTTCTGCGTCCGATGACAAGTCTGAGAGATCCTCTATGATCACCTGAGGTAGTGACAGCTGGGGCTCGGTAGACGCCCACTCAAAGCTAGGGCCGGCAATGGGAGCTTCAATGGTCTCAGCCCCGGTGCTGAGCAGCCCCATTGCATTCCTCCGGATGCCAAGCTCAGCAAGAACCTCGCTGGCCACAGGGGGGCGGCTGGGGTCCTCCTTGTAGAGGTTGATGGCCGTCTGGATGTCTACGATGCCGGGATCAAGATATCGGGACTTTCCACGGCCCACGTGCTGTAGCCGTTGGACTAAGGCATGAACTAGATAGTCCATGGCCTTGTCGTAATCTGTACAGACCGTGGCCAAGCGGCCGGCTGCGCCGCGCCAGCCTTGGGCTGTGTTGATGCCCAGAAACTCCGCTGCTTTCGCCTCTCCCCATCTATTGATGACCTTCTTCGTGGCTGCATTGCAGGCTCTTTGATTCTTTGCTGTCGTGCGGACAGCCTGTTCAGCCTTAGACCATATGTGTCGGTTCTTCTTCCTTATCTTCGCGAAATCGGCCCCGAGGGTGTCTTTGCCCACGGACCATAGGTGTATAAGGAAAGTGTTCCTTATGAGGTCATAGTTTCCCACCGCACGATTCACTTCGCCAAGGGCTTCATGGAAATGCTGTACGTATGTCTCCTTTGGGAGTTCCGCGGCCCAAGTCCGCAATTGCGCAAAAATCTCTTCCGGTGACGAAAAGGTGCATCCGGCGACGACAAGTGGTCGTCCCACGGGATTGTCCGACGATGTGGAGATAGCTAGGTCACTGTTATGAGTGTTCAAGTTAGCTCTGGTACTTGCTTTTAGGGCGCGTACTTGTAACACATACCTCATTCTGGTGATGAGTGAAATGCAAGACAAGAGAAATTCTCAACGAGCTTCTGGATGTGATAGTTGACTTATGTATGAATGATATGCGGCATTAGTAGAGGTGTCTGTGATAAGAGAAAGGTGAGCTCTCACACAAGGGTAGGGGGTGAGCTGGAAGGTGGAAGGTGGAAGGTGAGTAAGACTGAAGTGAACAATTGAAGAAAGATAAGGTGAAGGATCAAGAAACTAAAATACCCGTAATCAGAGTAAGAGGATTCGAAATGATATGGAATATGGTGCAAATTTGCCTTGGGGAAATCTCAAGTTGGTGTTTGCGAAGTCGAGAGGTCTGTAGTTTATGAATACCTCATGTCAAGAAGAAAGTCTGGCTCTGTGGAGGTTTTCTTTCTCCAGCTTTGATCCAGGTGAGCATATCCAGTCTGATCAATACTCAGCAGCAAGAAGTGAAGGCTAGGGACTCAGGATTTTGAATTATACCAGGTATGAGAGCTAGGAAGGCATTCTCATTATAGCACTGTATTCTTAGGAAGCCCACCAGACACAACCTTTGGTTCTGCCATTGCTATTTTAAACCTATGCCTTCCATACAGCTCTAATAGATATAGTCCTGTCTAATGATGGGAGTTGACATCCTGAATCTATCTTTAAAATGAAACCCTGGGTCACTGGTATTTATTAGTGTTATGCTTCATACCCCATGCTGCACGGTACTTATGAATTACATGACTTAAGTTAGGACCTTTTATCTCTACTGCATGCTTTAAGTCTATAATTTAAGTCACCACTCCACTATTACTGGTCATGTAAGTCATTACTTATTCACATCATCAAGATCTTTTCACATACGGTGACTAGATGGGCTTCTCTCACAGAATAAGGACAACCTCAAAGGCCACACACCAGTAGGGCCAGCCGCGCTGGGCAAACGCTAGATATCATAAGACATATCAGAACACAGAACATTGGGCGTCAGGACGCGGGATTCCACTAGTATATCCACATTGCAAAGGCCCCAGCTTAGATCAAACAGCTATCAGGGATTGCCGTTAGATACACTAGATGGGAAATAGGACAGATTAGTCATAGTTAACCTGCTGTACTGCCATGTCACAGAGTGTGGTTACAGGCTTGCGGGCAGGGGAGGTATAGGCATGGAAGTACATGAAAATGTGAGGTTTTAGGGGCAATGGGTGGTTGAGGAGGGTTGACAAACATGGGCCTGGGACATTTCAGGGCAAAGGAGAGTCAGACAAAGGGCTATTATAAGAAACCTGGCGATCCACCCTGAAATCAAGCAGAGTTGGGGACAAAAGTGAATATAGAGGAAATTATATATAGCCAGGGTAAGAACAATAACAACATCTCATCTCTTCCAACTTCCTTTCCTCAAAGCCCTCCTATCCCTTGGCTGACCCAACTGTAAGAGCACCTAGGGAATGCTCATAGATCAGTGTACATAGTGTGGTAACCGACCCCTACTAACGTAACTCCCAACCGAGCCGCCAACCCGACCGAGCCGCCACTTTTCCCATTCCATTCCAACGCGTTCAATTCGAAGCTATTCAAACAGCTACTATGCCACCAAAATCGCGTCAAACCTCTGGAAATTCTGTGGAGCAAGAGGGAAGGATCCAATTAGCAATATCTGCTTTAAAAAAAAAAGGAAATTCCTATCCACCGCGCCGCAGAGTATTCAACGTGCCTAGATCTACCCTTTGTGACTGACTCTATAGATGCTAGTATCAAATTAAGAAATGCGCCAATGGCCATAGGCTATCTCCTACGCAGGAAGAATCATTAGTGGAATAGATAATATCTAGGGATTCACGTGGAGTGCCTCCTAGGCTATCTTATATGGAAGAAATAGCTAATATCCTTCTCCAAGCAGATAAGCCCTCTGGATTTAAACCTATTGGTAAGAACTGGGTCTCTACCTTTACCAATTAGCATGAGGAGATTAGAACTTAATATACTTGACAATATAATCATAGCCAAGCTCAATGTGAGGATCTAAAGATTATTAAGGAGCAGTTTAACAGCCAGTTAAAAGTTGCCTCATAAACTTGACAAACATAGATACTTACAAAAACCAGATGAGTATTGATTGTTCATACTTTTCATGAGTTGCTGGTGCTAGTTTTGGGTGACTTATGACATTTTCCTTCTTTTCTTGCTTTTTCTGATAGTCTAGAGTAAAGCCACGTGACTCTGCAAGCTTCTGGTTCTCCTTATGTATGCCCTTCTCCTTAGCCTTCTCTAGCATTTTTTGAAATTTAGTGTCTTGGAAAGCCATGGTCATAAAAGGTCACGTGCGCTGGGGAAGTCGAAAGATCAAGTCAGTATGAAAGAATTCAGTGAGGATAAAAATCAAATCTATCCCTCGGGGCGCAGAACTCATTAAATCTCTGCGGTCGACTGCTGAGTTGGCCTTCATCACCCTCTGGGGCCCTCATCACCAGGGGTGATGAGTTCTCACCCACATCACCAGCACTCATACTAAAAGCATCATGCCGCCGCCTTAGAGCAAAAGGGCTTTCCGGCGATTGACCACGTTCTACAATGGGCTTAAGTACGGCTGAGCGGACGGGAAGCCCTGTTTTCCACACCCTGTGGTCGTATGTACCTGTTTAGATTCAACAAGGAGTCATATACAGAGGACTATAACTATTTATTCCAGTCGACGGCCGCTGTTGGTTGATACGTCGAGTGTATGTGTTTTTTGGGCCTGGGGATAAGCTGTAGCTGTCATTCTTGATGTGTTTGGGTATTCTGTGGAGTAGAATCTGGAATGACAGGTTTTGATAGTACTGATGCATGGACGGAGGGTGGTACAGGCTGACAGAAGATGTAGAGGCGGGAATGTTGGTGGTTACAGTTAGCGCATACATCGCTGTGTAAACGCACAGGTCTCTGTGAATGCATTGCGAGATGTTGAGGGATAGTGAGTGGTTCGTGAGCAGAAGAATTGTATGGGAAGGGCGATATACTCTACTGTGTATGTAGGAATAGCGTGCGATGAAAGAAGAGAACTTGTGGAGTTAGGTGACTGGATTAAGAGTTCACTACAGGAAGACTAAGCTACAGAGCTTCACAAACACTATTGTAACAATCATGCATTGACTAGGGTATTACACTGTCAAACACCAACAGATGCAGAGACAACCATAATAGTCGAAACATGAGTGCAAATAAACCTCCATCACAGGCCGAGGGTATTAGCAGAATGGCGCATATGCATATGCGTATGTGTATGTATATCAAAAGTCCGGACTCGCCGTGGAGCCCGGTCTCTCGAGGTGGGCGCAGGGTCGTTCCATGCGCACATCATTACTTTAACATAAAACATCCAAAACGGAAACGGTGGGTCAAAAAATCGACTAGTTAATCGAGTGTATATCAAAGGCGTTCCGGTCGGCTTTTGAGGGAGAGGGGAACGCCAGGTATAGAACAAGAAGGATAGGGCAAGAAGTAGGACATGCGCCGAGATGACGGGAAGAAGGCATGCACAGGAATATCCAAGTCATGGGCAAGAAAAGTATAAAGAAAGAATATCCAAGAAAAAAGTGTGGAAAGTGTCAAGTACCCCGTTCACAGGGTGACCAGAGCAACAACGGCAACCAGAACAGCGAAGAAGGAACCATTTAGGACTCGCTCGTTCTGAGACGGAGCAGCGTTCTTGTTGCTGGTGGCAGACGTCTCGCTGCCCTGGCTGAATCCGGTGGAGCTGCCAGAGCCGCTCGAGGTGCTTGTACCGGAGCCGCTGCTACCACTCTGGGAATTGCCAGGCTCGTTTCCAGAGCCACCATTGCCAGAGGGGACAGTGTTGTCGCCGCTGCTGGTCTTGTTCGCAGATCCCGAAGCGGAAGAGCTGGCGCCGAGGTCCATGTCAAGTCCGGTAGCGCCAAAGGAGGCGAGCACGGTGTTGTTGTTGGTGATTTGGACGGAGCTTTCGAGACCGGCCTTGTCCTTGAAGATGTATGCCTTGCTGCCCTTGGCATCAGCACCGCTGGGAGGGTCGTAGCATTCGACAGTGATTTCGCCAAAAGTGGCATAGTAGTAACCGGGGTCCTTGATGTCCTCGCTATCCCAGTTGATCTCACCGCCGGCCCAGGCAATGGTACCCGGGGCGTTGCTGGCTTGACCAGCGGGCCACAGGGACAGCTGCATTCTGGAGGGCGTCTGAGGGTACATGTATTGCTTGCTGGTCTCGTTGTAGGTGGATTCCTTTGTAAGAGTTCTCTTCACCTCACCGTCGACAGACCAGGTGATGGCCTCGGGCTTCCAGTCAATGGTGTACTCGTGCCAGTCGCCAAAGGTGTCACCACCAGGGACGGATGCGTTTCCGCCGTGGTTGTCTAGAAAAACCATATGTGAGTCAAATTGCAAAAACCATGGTCCGGGATCCACAGTTGAACTTACAGTCAAGAATACCCTGGAAGTAGTAGTTGGTCTGAACATTGGTCAGGTCAGCACCGACGAACTCGTAGTCGATTTCGTCCTTAGTGTCAGACAGCAGAATGAAACCGGTGACCACACCAGCGCCACGGCTGCTCTTGATCTTGGCCGAAATCTTGCCGTACCAAATGTAGTGGTTGTTTGCGATCAGGGTGCCGACGCTGTTCTTGGGCATGGTGAGCAGGAGGTTTCCATCCTCAACCTTGGGGTAGCCGCTGTAGACCCAGTCGGATTTGCTGGCATCGCCCAGGTATTTGGTGTTCGAAGCGAGGCTGTCGAGGTTCGACCAATCCTTGTAGGTCTTGCCCTGGCAAACCGGTTCAGGGGTACAGGAGTCGAGAGAGAAGGACATGAGAGGATCGCATCCGCCCAAGCAGTAAGCGCCCGTACCACACTGGCCGTACACTGAGGTAGAGGAATGGTTAGGTTAGGTTTGAGCAACTAGGTAGTCTCGAACGTAGTCTTGAACTTACGAGAGCAGCAAGGCCATTCTTCAGGGCAGTGGGAGTCCTGGCTGCAATTTGGAGGGTCGGAGGCAGCCGAGACAG